CAGCATTCTCCCAGCGCACACACATTGTAAACTTGCATGCTGTTTAGCTCTGTTTAACAGCAGTGCCTAGATGTATGCATTTGGATGCCCTAAGGGGGAGAATAGGACTCTGTGGGGGCATAAAGAGTCACAGATTTCCAAGCAGGCTGAGCAAACAGTCGTAGTAAAAGTGATAGCAATAGAATAGAAGATAGTTCCAACTATTTTTAAGTTTTCTAAAAGTTATTTTTTAAATTTACCTACAGAAAAATTGCCTCTGTTTTGCATATAGTTTTCTGACTTGAACATATATTCAGATTCATGTAACTGTCACCATAATCAGGACTTAGAATTCCATCACCCTAGAAAACTGGTTCTGCTGCTTTGCAGTCAAGTGTTCCCCTCACCTCAACCTCTGGAAGCTGCTGTTTTGTTTTCTATCCCTGCAGTCTCAGATATTCCAGAATGTCATATAAATGGAATCATTCATTATGTATCCTTTTGAGATTGACTTCCTTACTGAGAAAAATGCTTCTGAGACTTATCCAATTTTCATGTATCAATAATTTTATTCTCTTTATGTTGAGTAGTATTCCGTTTAAGGATGTACCATAATTTCTTTATTCATCCATCCATTGAGGGATATTTGGGTTGTTTTCAATTTTGGCAGTTATGGATAAGGCAGCTATAAAATATGTGAACAGGTATTTGTGGAAAATACATTTTTTCCCCTAGGGTAAATACCTAGTTTGGGAAATATTGGGCCATATGATAAATGTATGGTTAGTTTTATACGCACTTGCCTGTTTTTCAGAGTAACTATACCTTTTAGCATTGGAGCTCTGGTGGCATACTGCTAAGGCATTTGACTGCTAACCAGAAGGCTGGCGGTTCAAACCCACCAGCCACTCCCTGGAAGCAAGGTTGGGCAATCTACTTCCACAGTGATACTGCCTCAGAAACCTAAGGAGAGGTCGCTATGAGTAGGATCTGACTCCCCAGCAATGGTTGCGGTGCGTTACCAGCAATGTATGGGTGTTCTAGATGCCTGACTTCTTCACCAACACTTTATACTCTTCAGCTTTTATGTTTTTTTTAATTTTAGTTATCAGTGTGTAGTGGTATCTCATAATAGTTTAAATTTGCAATTCCCTAATGGCTATTAAGAAGAACTGATACCTTTGAATTGTGGCATTGGCAAAGAACGTTGAATATGCACTGGACTGCCAGAAGAAGTAACAAATCTGTCTGGGAAGAAGTACAGGCAGAATGCTCCTTAGAAGCCAGGATAGTGAGACTTCATGTCACATACTTTGCACATGTTATCAGAAAGGACCAGTCTCTGGAGAACATCATATTTTCTAATTTCCCTTGAGATTTCTTCTTTGACTTTTAGGTCATTTTAAAGGTGTATTGTTTAATTTCTAATTATTTGGAAATTTTTCTTATCATCTTTCTGTTATTTATTTCTAATTTAATTGTATTATTTTCATAGAACATATTTCATATGATTTCAATCCTTTCAAATTTATTAAGGTTTATTTCATGACCAAGAATATAGTCTACTTTGTGAATGTTCATCCATATATATTTTTAAAAAATATGTATTCTGCTTTTTCTGGGCAAAGTGTTTTATAAATGTTAATTACACCAGTTGGTTGATGATATTTAATCCACCTATCCAGTTTCACCTGGAGGCAATTTTGTCCCCTGGTAGACATTTGGCAATGTCAAGAGATATTAAGGTGCTTTGGTGGTTTAGTGATTAAGGGATTTGGCTGCTAACCAAAAGGTTGGCAGTTCAAACCTACCAGCCACTCTGTGGAAGGAAGAAGGGGTAATCCACTTCCATAAAGATTTATACTGCTTTGGAATGTTTTTAGTTGCACACAGTGGGTATGTTGGGCAGAGTGTGTTTATTCCATCTTACTGCAACTGAACTCCAACTTTTATTTTTAAGGTGCTCTAGACACTGTGGTTGGGAGCTCTGGTAGCATAGTGGCTAAGACACTTGCCTGCTAACCAGACGGCTGGCGGTTCATACCCACCAGCCACTCCTCGGAAGGAAGGTTGGGCAATCCTACTTCCGTAGTGATACTGCCTCGGAAACCCAAGGAGGGGTCGCTATGAGTCGGGGCCGACTCGACGGCACATAACAACAACAACAACAAAGACACTGTGGTTACTCAGAGCAGAATGATATAGAAACTTTGATAGTGATGAGCATGGTGCTATTTTTGGGAACTAGCAAATTACTACTGAATGTGGTTGTTCCACCATTTTTAGAGTAATGTCAATTTGCAAAGTCTGATCAAGACCACCAATGCTACTGAAAACTGAGGGTATTTTCATTTATTTATTGTGGATACCCTTATCCATACCAGAAGAGTCTGATCCAGTAGATCTTATATAGGAAGGGACCATCTGACCTTCAGCTAGGAGTAGCAATTATGGAATTATAGTTGGCATATATAAGACACGTTTCACACATATCCCTTTGGTTCTGAGGATTATTGGGTAAGGAAATCATATGATGATAGGTTTACATAGCCTGGTTGCTGGAGCTTAATTCTTTATATAACCTTGATTTCTAATAGCCTTGATGATTAAGTATTGGAGCTACAGAACGCCTCTCCTTGTCCACCCCTGTGGAGAAATAGAGGCAATGCCAGCATTTGTCTCCTAATGGCATAATTCTGTCTGATGTTGGAGTCTTTGTCCATAATACAAAACCAGTAAGAAAAAGGTACCACATTATAGGAAAGAGTAGGGATCCTAGCATAAGACAGCCTGGAGTTTTCATCCTGCTGCTAGCTGTAGATCTTCACACTGCTGAGCCTCAGTCTATATCTCTCTTTATAACAGGGATATTACTGACCTTGCTGAATGGTTGAGGAATAGAAACTATGTCCGAAGTTCCTGATAATACTTAACAGCTAACATTAATCAAAATGTATTATGTGCCAGCACTGTTATAAGTGTTTCATGTTGCTGTTGAGTTGATTTTGATTCCTAGCAACCCCATGTGACAGAAAAGGCCTGCCCCAGAGGGTATTATAAGCTGTAATCTTTAGTGGAGTAGATCCTCAGGTCTTTCTTCTGCAGAGCTGCTGAGGAATACAAACCTCCAACCTTTCAGTTAGCAGCTGGAATGCTTAAGGTATTAGATAATTTACACTTCTAAGAGCCCTAGAAGTCCCTGTTGTTGTTGTTGTTCTTATGTGCCCTCGAGTCAAACCCGACTCATAGTGACCCCTCCTTGGGTTTCCGAGGCAGTATCACTACAGAAGTAGGATTGCCCAACCTTCCTTCTGAGGAGTGGCTGGTGGGTTTGAACCGCCAGCCGTCTGGTTAGCAGGCAAGTGTCTTAGCCACTATGCTACCAGAGCTCCCTAGAAGTTCCTAGGTGATGCTATTATTAAGTGTTTGACTACCAGCTGGCAGGTTGGCACTTTGAATCTACACAGAAATACCTCAGAAGACAGGACGGACAATCTGCTTCCAAAAGCTTACAGCCTTCAAAATCCTATGGAGCAGTTCTACCCCGCACATATGGGGTCACCATGAGTCATAATTGACTTAATGGCAACTAACAACTAAAGAACCATGAGAATTTAAGAAAATTGTTCTTGGGGGAAAATAAATAAATAAAGGAGCTCTGGTGGCACACGCCTAAAACATTTGACTACTAACTGGAAGGTTGGTGGTTCAAACCCACCAAACACTCTGCAGAAGGAAGATGGGGCAATGTACTTCTGTAAAGAAAGCTAATGGAGGTTGCTCAGAGTTGGAATCAACTTGATGGGGGTGAGGTGTTTTTTTGTTTTGTTTTGTTATTCTAGTTCTTGGTAACATTGGGCTTCAAAGCCAACCATTCTGAAAGCAGAGTCTGCTTAGTACCTTCTACATTCTGTATCTCCATATGGCATGAGCTACAACTATTATCACAACTATTAGTACAGTGGTTTCTGCACTTGAATTTCAATGGAAAGGATGTGAAGGAAAGATATGAAAGAAGTACCAAACCAAATTCACCACTGTTGAGTTGACTGCGACTCACAGTGACCCCTCCTTGGGTTTCTGAGGGAGTAGCTCTACAAAAGTAGATTGCTCAATCTTCCTTCTAAGGAGTGGCTGGTGGATTTGAACCACCAGCCTGGTTAGCAGTTAAATGCTTTAGGCACTATGCCATCAGAGCCCCCATGAAGGAGGTAGGGAGTGGGAAAAGGCTTCATTCTTTTCTAAGTTTTGCTGAGCTCAACCTTGGCTCCTCCCATACCTATGGAGAGAAGAAGAAATGCTGATGGGCACAACACAGGTACATACTGATACTGGTGGCTTGAGTGAGAGATCTTTCTTTACTACTTCTGTTATACTGTAGATGTAGTAGTCAAGGCCTGGCTAGTTCCTTATGTTAAGAAGGCGAAATGGGATATAACAAGTCATTCTTAGTCCTACCTTACTCTCTACTATCCAGCTTATGTTGCTGATGGAAGCTCCACACTAAGTAAGTCTTGCAATAACTCTAACTTTAAGAAAATTAGGTTTATGTGGGGACCTGGAGAGTGGCAGATATCCAGTAACAAACATATGTGTGCTTCTTTGGAAGGATACATGTGAAAGTCTAGGACAATAAGAAGATTCATAAAGCTAGAGAATGGCACAGCTATAGAGGCCTTAAGAATTCTCCAGGTCAACTCTGAAGACTTCATTTCACATCCTGGAAGACTAAGGTCTGGAAAGGGCATGTGTTCTGCTGAAGATCATTGGCTAGTTCACTTCTGCTCATACCCTGTCTAATTTCTCTCCAATATTCTCTTTCTCTCCTTTTAAGCTTTCAAGAGCATAAGTTTATGGATTTTGGGGGTGGGGAGATTTAGGTGTCTTTATGTCACCTCTAAACAAGAATTTTTTTTTACTCTTTTTAGAGTTTATCTTCTAACAATTTCATGTGACTTCTTCAAACCAACCAACCAACCAACCAGAGAACATAGAACAAAACACTCCCTTACTGAAAAATCATGGCTAAGGGAGGTAAAGTCCCCAAGGGCAAGAAGATCACACTGAATGTGGCCAGAAATTGCATCAAAATCACATTTGATGGGAGAAAACGCCTTGACTTGAGCAAGATGGGAATTACCACCTTTCCCAAGTGTATTCTGCGTCTCAGTGATGTGGATGAGCTCGACCTTAGCCGAAATATGATCAGGAAGATCCCAGACTCTATCTCCAAGTTTCAGAACCTGCGTTGGTTGGACCTTCACAGCAACTACATTGATAAGCTTCCTGAGTCTATTGGCCAAATGACTGGCCTGCTCTACCTTAATGTCTGCAACAACAAACTGACCACCAATGGGCTGCCTGTGGAGCTCAACCAGCTCAAGAACATTCGCACCCTGAATTTTGGCTTAAACCACCTGGATAGCGTGCCCACCACACTTGCTGCTCTGAAGGAGCTCCATGAGGTGGGGCTCTTTGACAACTTGCTGAACAGCATCCCCAATAGCATTGGCAAGCTTCCCAAGCTGAAAAAGCTCAACATAAAGCGAAATCCTTTTCCCAAGGAAGAAGAGTCTGAGCTCTTCCTAGATTCCATCAAAAGGCTGGAGAATTTATATTTGGTGGAGGAGAAGGATCTGTGTGGGCCTTGCCTGAAAAAATGCCAACAAGCCCGTGACAAGCTGTATAAAATCAAGAGCATGGCCACAGCACCACTGAGAAAGCCCCTCTTTTCCAATTTGGTTTCGCCCAACTCCATGGCCAAGGAGTCTCAGGAAGACTGGAGGTGACCAAGGGCCCTGACCCTAAGGCAGGAGGGGAGAAGTGAGGGAGGGAAGATGACAGTGGGCTACATCCACAAGAAATTGAGGGCTCCCCCCATAACTGCTATAACTCCTTCAGTCAAGCCCATAAAACACCTTTCCCTACCTCATCTGCTTGTGATTTTCTTCATTGAAGGCTTTTGGTTCCCTGCCATTCTATATGTTTCTCTCTTCTCTGCATGTATACCTACACATATGGGTACAATGAGTCATAAAAGGGCTTCTTGTCTTACTTCTGCACTAGAACTCTCCTGTCTACAGTCCATGACCTAGGAAGATACAACATATTGGGAGCAATCACCAGCTCCATAAAGTAGAGCTTATTCTATGGGGATGTTTTGGGTCAGAGGTTTAAAGATCAGAGCATGAGCTGGTAGGTGGACAGATAGGCATTTGGCCTGGACAACAGGCAAAGCTGGGCCACAGAGATGTATTGGCCCAAAGAAATCCTCTTTTTTTCTTATCTTTTCTTTCATAATTTGCTTGAGAAGCTTTCTAGGCTAAATCTACTAAACTCTGACTGGATGTGAATGAATAAGCTTGCATTCCCATCTTATTATGTCAATTGCTTTCCCAGATCCTTGTAGGAATGAAAAATAATAGGGGCCAGGTATGGGTTAGTGCATTCAATAAATAAATACCTTACTAGGTATAGGGACTGTGTCCAATTGGGAAAATTTTGGCTTGCCTTGTACAGGCTGCAGGTGAGATCAGTTAAAAGAAGATGAGGCAGAACTTCATTGTCTGAGAAACTTATATTGGTGCTGCATGTTATCTGGAGTCAGACAGATCTAAGTTCATGACAGCTCTGCCTCTTGTCACTTTTGGCACCTTGCTTAGGTTTGGTTCCCTCATCTGCAAGGTGGAAACAATAGCAATACCTAACTCCAGGGGTGGTTGAGCCTCTAAAGCAGGTAGCACAGGGTGGGGCACAGAGTAAGCATTCAAGAAATGTCCATTTTTTCTAAGGTAGAGAGAAGTCATCTTAAAGCTGAAATACAACTTTGGACAGTGCCCCTAGTCACAATAGCTCTTTTGGCAGAATTGATAGTAGTAGAATCAATCCTCACGGTGGCTGAAAATCGTCTCTAGACTCACTCTGAACTGCTCACTAGCACCTCCATACTGCCTGGAGAAAAGGATTGAGGAAGATATCTTCAAGAAGACTTTTTAATTTCATTTCATTTTTTAATTTCTAACTTCCCATTGCCCTCTCCTCTCAGCCTTGGTAACTACTAATCTTCTTTTGCCTTGATGAATTGGTATAGTCTAGATATTTTGTATAAGTGGGACCATACAGTATTTTGAGTCTGATATTTCACTGAGTATATTTTCAAAGTCCATCTGTGTGATGGCATGTATCAACACTTCATTTCTCTTTATGGCTGAATAATACTCCATTGTATATACAGTGGTATATAGTATATACTTTGTTTGACTTTTCATCTGTTGATAGACATTTGGGCTGCTTCCACCTTTAGCATGTTATAAATACTGCTGCAATGAACATTGGTGTACATGCACCTGAGTCACTGATTGAGTATACCAAGGAGTGGATTTTCTGAGTCACATGGTAATATTGTGTTTAACTTTTTAAAGGATCATACAACTGTTTTCTTCAGATGATGAATGTGTAATTTCTGTTGTATAGAAACACAAGTGACTTCTTTGGGCTGACTTTGTACCCTGACACTTTGCTAAATTCATTTATTAGCTCTAGTAGCCTTCTTGGAGTCTTTGGGATTTTCTGTATATAGAATCGTGTCATCTGATAGTTATATTTCTTTTCTGATTTGGATATCTCATTTTTTTTTTCCTTGCCTAATTGCTATCACTAGAACATCCAATATAATGCTGAACAGGAGTGGTAAAAGTATGCATTCTTGTCTTTTTCTGATCTTACATGGAAAGCTTTCAGTCTTTCATCATTGTTTATTTTAATTTTGTTGGATTGTGTTAACTTTCTTTTCTTCATCAGTTAAGATAATCACTTCCCCTCTTCCCTTCTACATGTGCCAATGTGGTATATTACATTGATTGATTTTCTTATATTGAAACATCCTTGTATTCCTGGGATAAATCCCACTCAGTCATTATGTATAATCCTTCTGATCTGCTGTTGGATTCAGTTTGCTAGTATTTTGTTGAGGATTTTTTTTTTTTTTTTTTTTGCGTCTATAATCAAAATTTTATTGGTCAGTAGTTTTTTTCCTTGTAGTACCTGTATCTGGCTTTGGTATCAGAGTAATGCTGGTCACACAAAATGAATTAGGAAGTAGCCTCTCCTCCTCTATATTTAAAAAAGTCTGAGAAGAATAGTGCTAATTCTTCTTGAAACGATTTTTAGGATTCCCCAGTGAAGCTATCTGGTCCTGAATTTTTCTTTGTTGTGAGGTTTTTGATTACTGTTTCAATCTCTTCATGTGTTACTGATCTGCTGAGTTTTTCTACTTCTTCTTGAGTCACTTTAGGTTGCTTTTGCGTTTCTAGATATGTATCCATTTTATCTAGATTATTTAGTTTGATAGTATACAACTATTCATAGTATTCTTTTATAATGGCTTTTTTAAAAAAAAAATTTCTGTAAGCTGGCACTAATGTCACTAGTTCATTTTTATCATCTTCTTTCTTTGTTTCTTAGTGAAGTTAGAGATTTGTTAGTTATTTTGATCTTTTCAAAGAATCAACCTGCAGTTTCCTTGATTTTCTTTTATTTTTCTAAATTCTATTACATTTATCTCCAATGTAATTTTTATTATATCCTTCTGGTTGCTTTAGGCTTCATTTGCTCTTCCTTTTCTCATTTCTTAAGATATAAGTTAGGTTATTGATTTTCCATCTTCTTTTTTAATTTAAGTATTTGACTGCTAACCAGAAGGCTGGAGGTTCAAATGCACCAGTCACTCCTCAGAAGGAAGACTGAGAAATCTACTTCCATACAGATGTTGTTGTTGTTATGTGCAATCGAGTTGGACCTGACTCATAGCGACCCCTCCTTAGGTTTCTGAGGCGTTGTCACTACGGAAGTAGATTCCCCAACTTTCCTTCCCAGGAGTGGCTGGTGGGTTTAAACTGCCAGCCTTCTGGTTAGCAGTCAAGTACCTTAGGCACTATGCCACCAGAGCTCCATTCCATAGAGATACCACCTTGGAAACCCAAGGAGGAGTCACTATGAGTTGGAATCGACTTGATGGCAGTGAGTTTGGTTTTTTGTGTCCGAAGCTGTAAATTTCTCTCTGAGGACTACCTTTGCTGCATCCCATGGATTTTGGTGTGTTGTACTTTCATTTTCATTTGTCTTTAAGTATTTTCTAATTTTCCTTGTGAGTTATTCTTTGAGCCATCAGTTCTTTAATAATGTGTTGTTTAATTTCCACACTTTTGTGAAATTTCCTGTTTTCCTTCTATTATTGATTTCTAGTTTCATTCCACTATGGCCAAAGAAGATACTTTGTAGGATTTCAATATTTTTCAATTTATTGAGGCTTGTTTTGTAACCTAATATATGGTTTATCCTGCAGAATGATCTATATGCCCTGGAGAAGAATATATATTCTGCTGTGTTGGGTAGATCTAGTTGGGTTATAGTGTCATTCAAGTCCTTTATTTCCTTATTGTTCTTCTTTTTACATGTTCTATTTGTTATTGAAAGTGGTGTATTGAAGTGTCCAAGTATTGCTGTTGAACTGTCTATTTCTCAATTCAATATTATCAGTACTCGCTTCACAAATGTTGGGGCTCTCTTGTTAGGTGCATATGTATTTGTAACTGTTATATCTTCTTGATTAATTGATCTTTTTATCATTATATACTATCTTTCTTTCTCTTTTATAACAGCTTTTTACTTAAAGTCTATTTTGTCTGATATTAATACGACCACCTAAATTTTCTTTGGGTTTCTTTCTTTTTTTTTTTTTTTTTTTTTTT